TTCAAGAGAAAAACAAAGCAAGAAGGTTAGTGTCCTCTTCCCTAATACACAGGTTGTGTGATCGAGTAAAAAGTGTTTTAGAACTAGGAATCTCTTGGAGGCAATCTAAGGGTAGAGTTGCGTAGCATGTTACAATTGTAATCAGCCTGATTAAATTGTTGATTCTAGTTAATAAAACAGAGCGTTAAACTTAGCTCTTTCCAAGTCAATTTGCTGTTGTCTGTTTTCTGCACTTACAAGAGTAATGCCATGGAGTCGTCATTAGGCTTCTGAATGGTTGAGACAACTAACAAGAGCTTCAACACAAAGTATGAATAGGAATGGAGACAAATAATCACCTTGTCTAATGCCTCGCTTTGGCCGAATGAAAATGTGGGTTCTGCCATTGAGAAGTATAGAATATGTGACTGTGCTTATTCAAGCCACAATCCATTTGATCCATACGTGAGCAAATCTCATCTTTTCCAAAAGTGTCTCCAAGAAGCACCATTCCACTCTATCTAGGCTTTGGACATATCCGTCTTCATTGTCATGAAATCTTTATCCACTCGAAGGTTTGTTCTTAAACCATGAATCATTTCATGGACAATGATTATGTTGTCTGAGATGAGCCTTCCGGAGACAAACGCACCTTGAGCGTCAGATATAATATCCGGCAGAATGGCTTTAAGACGATCACATATGATCTTTGATATTATCTCATATTAAACTGAGCATAGGCTGATAGGTCTCATATCCTGCATCTTTGTAGGGTTTGGTATCTTCGGGAGAAGGCATAGTTTAGTATGATTCCATCCAGCCGGAATAACCGCAGAGCTAAAGAAACTCTGAACCTCCTTGATGATGGCAGGACCAGCAATGTGCCAGAACCATTGGTAAAAGACACCTGTAAGGCCGTCTTCACCTGGAGCACTGCTGCCTTTGATAATAAAAACAGCTTTTTTAATCTCTTCTACCGAGACTGTAGCCGTTAGAATCTGATTCATCTCCGTTGATACTCGCGAGTTAAAACCATCAAAAAGCGATTCTAAGTCAAAGGGGTTTGAGCTTAGAAACAACTCACGGAAGTAGTCTAAATATTCCCTTTTGAACCCTCATGAAACTGTTCTCTGCCAAGATTATCGATGAGCATCAGAATACGATTTTTGATGTTTTTTTCCTTCACACAATTGTGGAAATTCAAAGTATTCATATCCCTTCAGCCATTGCTCTCTACTATTTATTGCCAAAACATCTCCTCATCTCGGTAAGCTTCAGCCAAATCCCGTTTTGTATCTTGCATTAGTTGTTTGTTTGGAAAATCCTTTCCTACTTCTTGTTCCAAAGTATGCCTTAGATGCATTATACGATCCTGGGAATTAAGAGCCGCAATTTTTTTCCATTTTGAGAGTTCTCTATGACAACGACCAATATGGTCCATTTTAGATATATTCGCATCCTCATCAACTACATCCCAACCTAGCTTGATGATGTCCTCAATGCCTTCTCTCTGCGCCATTCTTTTGTCAAAATAGAATCGTCCCCTGTTTGGACCATCGCTTTCAAGAGCAAACCTAACTCGGATAGGCCGATGATCTGAAGCAAAACGGTTGAGATACTCTGTCCGCGATCAAGGGAAGAGATTATTTCATTGATCGCTATTAAAGCATGTATCGAGTCTGCATTGAATCCATGCCCTATCTCTCCATCCCGACCACGTGATAGAGTTACCAGAACTCATGAGTTCTTTCACTTTACAATTCTCTGCCATGTTGTGAAAATCCCAAAAGGTTGACTCATGCCTTCTAGGTCCTCCCAACTTCTCATCGTTGTCATAAGCTCATTAAAATCCCCCACAAGAATCCAAACTTCATCCCTTGCAATTTCTATATTTGTTAACTGATCCTACTCTTCTCTCATTTGTGCCCGTACTGGATCTCCATAGACACATGTTAAGAAGAAAGTTGTAGATCCCATTTCCACCTGTAAATCCACCATTCTTTTATCACTTGCTAAAGCTTCTACCTTGTAACTATCCTTCCACATCACAGCCAAGCCTCCACTCAAACCAATTGGCTCGACCGTAATCACATGCTCGTAACCAAAACCATTTTTTAAACCCGTAATATAATCATACTTTTTCTTAGTCTCCATCAAAAACAAGAAATCTGCAAAATATTTTTTACATATCTCCCAGAGTCTACAAACTGTCTTGGTGCTTCAAACCGGAAGCCACTGTATCAGGAGAGGTTTTTGGAGATTTGGAAGAATGATCCCTGTCATTCGTTTGAGCTTTCCTTTTGGTGTTAGAATCTGAAGGGAGAGTTGTCAAAGGAGAACCAAGATGAGTCTGTGAATCTGTATCCAATTAACTGTTGTTCTTCTTTGATGATAAGCATTTCTATTTTTTTGGGTTGATGTCTATTCTTTTTTCCTTCATTTCGGGTGCCGAAGGCTGGGGATTCTGATGCATAACCCAACCGAAAAACTGTTGCACTGACCGGGCAAAAAGAGGAAGAGACTTCCTGTACTATTAAAAGATCTTTGAAAGACTTGCTTTTATCCATCAGGGGCGGAGCTGCCACTAATGAAGAGCTGTCTATAGAAGTTCTTTGTTTAGCTGACTGATGTTGCTCTTCAAACCCAAAAACAAGACTTTTACCTTTGTTCAAATTGTTGGTTTCTGGTAGATGGCTCTGAGGAGTTAGAATCCAAAGACTGTTCAACCCTCCTTATACAAGCTTGGCATTCTGTAGAATCCGCATGAGAGATATATTGTAGGCTATTTGACGTTCCTCTCGTTGGAGCTCTAGAAACCTTGGGGGAAAATCATGTGGCACTTGTTTAAGCTGTCGCTTCAGCTTGTTTGATGTTAAAAGTAAGGTGCTCATTTGACTTTGTAAAGTTATTTCTAAGAGGTTTTAACCAGCTTCCATTTGATTTTCTATGACCTAAAAGGCAAGCTGGCCGTTCATGTGTCAACCGCTGACAGTGGAAACAACGTTTCTTCAACTTTTCATACTCGTACTCGATCAGAACCTTAACCTTTTGTTGGCAGATTCAAAGTCTTGGTGTGTGCAGCAGAATTTGCAATATTTAATTTGACATGAGCATGGATGTAGGCTTTTTTCTGCGATACCTTGGGGTCATAAGCAATCTCGTGAACAAAACCGATTCTTTTTTGCTAACAGTTGCATTGTTTCAATTCTGTAATGATTCACCGGAATGTTACGGAATTGAGGCAATTGACTAAAAAAACAAAAAATATGTACAACAACAAAAAAACGTAATATTCTCTAGCGTAAGTTTAGGAAGGTATCGGAAGATTCCACCGGAGCATTGGCATACGCTTCCAAAAGCTCCGGGATCTTAATTACACAATTTACGTATGTGCTAAGGCTTATTTATATTAATTTTAAATTTAGGCCCAATAAGAATCCATTATCGAAATAATTCTCACGCGAAAGTCTACTCAAAATCTCAAATCCCTAAATTCCTTGAGACGGCGAATTCTCACCGACGAATTTTACTGCAAATGTCTTCTCCGCTTATACCTTCAGCCGCCACGAACGGCGAAGAGCCGTCTACTAAGAAGAGGAAGAAGCCGAAGCCGATACTCCCACAGACGTCGTCGTCGTCGCAATCGACTCTGATACCATCGCTTCCTGATGATTTGCAATTAAGCTGCTTCGCACGCATCTCTAGGTTGCATTACCCAGCTCTCTCCTTCGTCTCCAAGAGCTTTCGATCTCTCCTTGCTTCGCCGGATCTTTACAAGACCCGATCCGTCTTAGGCCGCACCGAGAACTGTCTCTATGTTTGCTTACAGCTCCATCCCGACCTTAACCCTCGCTGGTTCACTCTCTGCCAGAAACCTAATCGAACCAAGAAAGAAAAGTCAAGTGGCAATATCTTGGTCCCAATCCCAAATCCCAATTCTCCTCAAGCTCATTGGCAAGGAGTGGTACCACTTGATTCTAGCATCTACGCCATTGGAGGACCAAGCGAAGATTCACCTTCCTCTAGCGTCTGGGTTTTAGACTGCCATTGCCATGTTTGGCGCAAGGCTCCAAGCATGCGTGTTGAGAGAGGTTCCCCAGCAGCCAATGTCTTTGATGGGAAGATATATGTTGCAGGAGGATGCAAAGGCTTCGATTCTTCAAACTGGATGGAAGTTTTCGACCCGAAAACCCAAATTTGGGAGCTTGTGTTGTGCCCTGTTGCAGAGAGATGTAGAAGGAGTGTACACAAGAGCGCAGTGATTGAAGGAAAGATCATTTACATGTATGGTAACGAAGGTGTTGCTTATAAGCCAGAGGAAGATAGATGGGAACTTATAGGAGGTTTGACTTATTTGGATTTGGGATGGCCATGGCTTTGTTATTGCGTGGTCGATAACGTTCTCTACTGTTGTAGTAACTCTGATGGGCTTGAATGGTACGACTCTAAGAGACACTACTGGGTAAATATCAAGGGTTTGAAAGGATTGCTTAAGTTTGCTGGTTATGGCTGTGTTAAACTCGCGGGTTATGGCGGGAAGCTCGCTGTTTTGTGGACAAAGTATCAGGAGACGAGGATTAGGTGTGCGGTGATTGCGCTTGAGAGACGCAACAATGATGAGGAGGTTTGGGGAACTGTCGAGTGGCTTGATCCTGTTCTTACAGTTCCTAATGGTTTTAAATTCGAGTGTGTTCTTGCTGCTACTGTTTGATGAAACTGACTTTTGGTTAGTGAGTCTCTTGAGTTCTTGCTGCTACTGTTTGATCAATTTGATTGTGGTTAGTGAATCTTGAGTTATTGCTGCTACTGTTCGATGAATTGATTTGGTTAGTGAGTCTTCTTGAGTGATGATGGTAGAAGATGTAGTTTAGTTTTGCATTGGGGATGCAAATGTAGAACAAGATTAGTTTATTTTGTGCTGGAGATTGAACTTTGTAGCCACATTACTTAAAAAGTTTATTCTCATTAAGTCATTATACACAAAAGTTTTACTTTTTTTTTTATAAAAATCAAAAGTGATTTTAGTTTTGAACTCCTTCATGAAGCAAGTCAATAAGAACGTCCATTTCTTGTTTCTTGAGGGCGAAGGCAATCTCCACACCGCCGTTTCCATCTCTACTCTCCGTCATCGATATCTTCCCTCTCTGATCAATCGACACTATCGAAACCTTAACCGGTTTCCCCCACCCGAAATCCAAACCGTATACTCCAAACCGGGTCGACCCAGCAACCGACACTAACAGATATTCCGCCGGAGCATTCTCGAACGTTTCCAAAAGCTCCGGGATCTTCCACGCCACATTTGAATCCAATCCCTCAATCGAGTCGCTGATCAATCTCGCAGCAGCCAAAAACCCTTCTTTGCCCAGAAACATTCCCGCCTTTAACGGGATTTTCACAGCAGAGAAAACGCAGTTACCGAAATAACTCGCCGGAATCGGCGGATTGATTAGGTTTCGACAATCAACCGCGAATCTGTATCCGACGGATCGATTCGGATCATCATCGCCTCTGGATCTGATCAAACAAGTGAAGGCGTAAGAGAATGTAACCACAAACGTCGACAATCGAAGCTCCTTTGAGGATGAAGACGATTCTCTCTTGAGTCGATCTCGAAGCTTCTGGATACCTTCTCGAGTGAGTTCGAATGTGAATCTGACAACGTCGGAATTAATCGCCGGCGGCTTCGGTATAAGCTTCAAGCTTCTGGGTTTATCAATGGAGTGCCAAGTGTTTAAGACCTTAGTATCGATATTCGTCGGACCTTTTATGACCGTTCGATCGTAAAACGGAATTAGATCCTCCGGTAGAGGATCGTTTGGTTGTTTACATGTGTAGGCCCAGGATTTGAGAAAAGTGGTCGTCGTTTTTCCATCTGAAACGGCATGGTGTGTGGTTACGCCGATGCAAAACCCTTGGTTTGGGAACAGAGTGACTTGAAACGACACGGCGGAGGCTGAGTCGTCGGAGACTCGTAACTCGGGTACTAATGGGTATAGATCGGAGGCAGGGAACGTTTCGTTACCGGATAATCGGGAGAAATCGGAGTTTGATTCAGCGACGGTGAAGAAAACGGCGTCGTTTGGAGAGTAGACGATCCTCGGCTTTGGATCAAGTGGGTCCCAGATGAGTTTCCCGGCTAGTGGGAGGTAGTGAGAGAGGAACAAGGAGAGAGAGGATTTGAGATTGGGGACGATGACTGAGTCGAAGAAAGAGCGAGTTGCGTGGGTGAGTTGGTAGAAGATGACTCGTTCGACCGCTTTGTGTTTGAGCCAGAGAAGGTCGAAGAAGGTGAGTGGGAGACTGAGGGACTCGGATGAGTCAGAGGTTGAAGGTGTGACTCGTGACACGTGGATTATGTTTAGTGATGCATTCATTTTGTTTTTTTAGTGGTATCGTAGTGAGAGATAATTATTTCATCCGGCAGCATATTATTTATCATGTATACGTCAATGTCAGAGATGCTTAAGAAAAAGCGCAGTTGTATACGTTTACTTGCGAAATAGTATTGATTATTGAACATGTTTAACATGTTGATCACTTGATCTCTCAACAGAAACTTTCATTGATTAGCCTCCGAAAATAAGAAAAATGTAAACTATAAGTCTATAACTGAATATACAAGAGTTCTTTCTACTTGATTAGTATGAGAACAATAGTATTTGATTGCAAAACTATGATTTTTGCTATTTTGCGGATCACATGCATTTGAATATGCAGATCACGTGTTTCATCGCTTATGATTTTCCTTTTTTTTTTTCAACTATTGGAGTTGGAATTTGCACTACATTCAGCCCTTGCACTACATTCAGCCCACCAAAGAGCCCACATCTGAATAAGTTAGTCAATTAAAAGCCCAAATGTCCTGCCCAAAGCTCTCTGCGACAAGCTTCAAAAAAAATGAACTAGTCATCTGCATGGAACGAGTCAATCGATATCTAAAAGTATGAAATCTCTGGAGACTGACCTGAACGCACAAAGCAGGATGAGACGTTCTCAGTTAGAAATCAACTTTTAACTTATTATCATTTGTATGCTGGATTAATTTTGGCTGCTATTGTCTATTGAACAGCTTCCCTTTCCATTTTATGAATCTATCTTACCTATATTCATCTTGGTGTGAGTCTAAAGATTTGTTCTTTCTTTACATTCACTGCACAATCAACGACTCCCTTAGAAGCTCATTTTAAAATCGCTTACATCTGCGAGTTCTAATTTTACAAAAACATATTGCAAAACAGTTTGATTACATCAATACAATTCAATTCATGGATTAACTAAATATCAGACCAGCTGAACAGTTGAATGGAGTAGTAAAATACTGAAATCAATAAAACGAATAACTTAAAATTAAATAAAATAATAAAGTCAATCCAATGTAAAAACTGAAAAATGAATAAATTTAAAATGTCTAATACTAGTAACTTTTTATATTATTTATAATTTAAAAATATATAGAATTAATTTAAAAATAATTTGTTAATTTCATTTTTTATCATTACTAGGTATTTATCCGCGCTATGCCGCAAGATATTTTTCTAGATTTGTATATATTTTTAATATAATAAAATTATTTATATATTTTAAATGAATATTATATTTATTTTTTATTAGCTTAAGTTACATATTTATATATTTTAAATCTCAATAAACATTATATATAATTAATTTTTTTATTTTTTTAAATTATAATCTACTATCAAATTTGTTTAGCTAACTATCTATAAATGTATATGTAAGAATAAAACAATACATTTTTAAGTACCTTCAAGCTAATGGTAGATGTAATTTATTTTCTCTACTAAATTGCTACTTGATCCTCTTTTGAAATTATATAAAGCAAATTACCATTTAAAAAAAATATTAATTAATATGATTATTTTAAATTGTAAAATTTATTTATTTATCAAATATTTATTATAGACATATGTTTCTAAAACTACCAAACTATAATCAATAACATTCATATCAAACTCATTACTATTACTTTAGAACTAAATATAAAGTTCTATTTGAACTGTTAAAATATCAATTTAGTTGAAGTTAAATAATTCAATTTTGGTTACTATAAACATATTATAACTTGAAAATTTAGCACAGAGAAATTTTATCTTTTTACAAAAACCGAGAAATTGCATTTTCTGCCAAAACCAAAAAAATTCATTTTCTCGTCAAACCTGAAATTTTATTTTCCTACCAAAACAAAAAAATTACATTTTTCCTCAAAAACCAAAAAATCACACTTTTCCGCGAGAACCTGTGTTTTTCCGTCAAAACAGAGAAATCAAGTTTTTTCACCAAAACCAAAAAAATTCATCTTCCAGCAAAAACAAAAAATAGTATTTTTCGGTCAAAACCAAAAAATTATTTTCCCGCAAAAATCGAGAAATCATCTATTCCCACCAAAATAAGAAAAAAATAATTTTCTCGTCAAATCAAGAATCACGCCTTCCTACCAAAACCGATAAACCAAAAATTGCATTATCTCCTAAGAAATTACGTTTCCCACGAAAATTAAGAAATCATATTTTCCCTCGAAAACCAAAAATCAAATTATATGTCAAAAACTGAAAATTTGCATTTCCCATCAAAACCAAGAAATTGTTTATTCCCGCCAAAAACGAGAAATTTTGCTTTTCTATCAACCCGAGAAATTGCATTTTTTACCAAAATTGTCAAATTACAATTTTCCAAAAAAATCAAGAAATTACATTATCCATCAAAAGCCGAAAAATTGCATTTTCTATCAAAACCGAGAAATCATATTTTTCGTCAAAATTGAAAAGTTGCATTTCCCTCGCATTTTCTCGTCAAAATCAAATTTTTTATTTCTCACTAAAACCAAAAATTCACATTTTACCGTCAAACCCGAGAATTTGTTTTTTTCCGCCATAACCGAGAAACTATGTTTTCCTACCAAAACTGAAAATCACATTTTTCTACCAAAACCAAGAAATTCTCTATTTCTGCCAAACTCAAGAAAATTTGTTCTCGGTAACCAGTGAAAATGCGAATCTCCAAGCTGTGGTGGTCTGAGTTTCTCCTCATTTGCTTTTGCCTTCCATTTTTTTTTGTAAACTTTGAGCTTTTTAATGGGTCAGCAAAATAGTAAACTGATTTTATTAGTGTGTTAATAATATGTATTATTGTTATGTTTTTATTGGTTCAAATTTTTGCTGATGTGTGAGCTTCTTATAACATAACGCTTTTTGCATTGTTGTTATGGAAGCATAGTTGATAATGAGTCTACACTTTCTTCAATCATATACGTCTCTATCAAGCAAACACATAATTAGAAATTTTAATTTTTTTTGCTGTTATTTATTATTTGAGTTTCGGTTTGGCAAAAATATAAACAAATATTTAATTTTTTATTTGTTGTTATTTATTATTTAGATTTGTTAAAAACATAAAATAATTTTTTTTATTTGCTGTTATTTATTATTTGGGCTTGAACTTGACCAAAAAATAAAACTAAAATTAACAATAAAAATATTTGAATTTTTAATGGGTTTAAATTTAAAAATTAAAATAAATTGATGACTTTTATTAATGAAATGTTTTTATTGGTGTTTTTTTTGCTGAAGTGTCATCTCCTAAAAGTTTGAGAATACTGATGTGTCAAATCATAGAGAGACTTATGAGTTATTGTTGTGTTGATGTGTATAATATTGTAAATGGTATCTATACGGCAGAATCATATTATTATTATATTATGAATAATATGTACTGCGACTTAAAAACGTGGATAAACTATATACTATTCAAACATCTTATTTTGATCGCTGGTTAAAAAAAGGATCTTGCCCAAATCTCTGGATTTGAGGATCTAAAATGTGAAATATAAACAAAACTCAAGGGCAAATTTAGGATCCTAAAACCATAGAAACAAGAAATGAACTCGAAACGACTGACAAAACAAGAAAATAAATGAAAACTCAAAAGACTAACTCATTGTTCAAAAACGAAAAGTGATTTAATTTTTTAATCCGTCACGGAGCAAATCGATAAGAACGTCCATTTCTTGTTTCTTGAGCGAGAAGCCAACCTCCACACCTCCACTTCCGTCTCTACTCTCCGCCATAGATATCGCGCCCTGATCGATCGACACGATCACTACTTTCTCCGGTCTTCCCCACCCGAAATCCAACCCGTATACTCCAAACCGGGTCGACCCGGCAACGGACAGATCCTGTGACCCGACCGGAGTAGCCGCGTACGTTTTCAAAAGCTCTGGAATCTTCCAAGCCACATTCTCATCCAACTCCTCAACCGAATCACTAACAAATCTCGCGGCGGTCAAAAACCCTTCTTCGCCATTAAACGTCGCCGCCGTCAACGAATTCCTAGCGACGCCGGAGACACAGTTTCCGAAATAACTCGACGGAATCGGCGGATCAACGATGAGATATCTGCAATCCACCGCGAATTTATACCCAACGGATCTATTTGGATCGCCGCCTCGAGCTCTGATCAAGGAAACGAAAATGTAAGAGAACGTAATCACGAACGTCGACAAGCGAAGCTGCTTGGAATCCGAGGACTCTCTTATGACTCTCTCGCGAAGCGTTTGGATATCTTCTGGAGTGAGCTCGAACGTGAATCGGACGGTTTCAGGGTCCATCTCCGGCGAAGGAAGAAGCTTTAAAGATTTGGGGTTTTCTGGCTCTTTGCCGCCGGCGAGCATTTTGGAGAAAGAGTGCCAAGAGTTCAAGAGAAGCGTATCGATCCCCGGAGGACCTTTTATGACCGTGCGATCGTAAGACGGGATTAGATCCTGCGGTAGAGAATGGTTTGGTTGTTTACATGTGTGAGCCCAGGCTTTGAGAAAGTTTGTTGTCGTTTTTCCATCTAAAACGGCATGGTGTGCGCTTACGCCGATGCAAAACCCTTGGTTTGGAAACAGCGTGACTTGAAACGACACGGCGGAGGCTGAATCGTCGGAGACTTGTAACTTGGGAACTAATGGGTGTAACTCGGTGGCGGAGAACGGTTCGTTGTCGGTCAAACGTGAGAAATCGGAATCTGACTCGGCGACGGTGAAGGAAACGTCGTCGTTTGGGGAGTAGACGATGCTCGGGTTTTCATCGAGTGGGTCCCATACGAGTTTCCCGGCGAGTGGGAGGTAGTGAGAGAGAGTTGAGGAGAGAGAAGTTTTGAGATTAGGGACGAGGACTGAGTCGAAGAAAGCGCGAGTTGCGTCGGTGATTCGGTAGAAGATGACTCGTTCAACGGGGTGAAGTTTGAACCAGTGAAGGTCGAAGAAGGTGAGCGGGAGAGTCAGTGAGTCGGACGAGTCAGACGTTGAAGGCGTGACTCGTGACACATGGAGGATATTTGCTGATGGATTCATATTTTTGTTTTGTGATACTCAAAGTTGTTATGATCCTATCGTAAAGGATGGCAATATATAGTGCACATTATGTAGGAAAAAAATCGAGGAATTTCAGAAAGAAAAAAAAGTTAATTTCTTTTCGTCGTTAGTATTAATTTTAGATGTATAAAAACGTGCGTGGAAGATATTGTTAAGTTGGTCGATAATATTGTGAGGTACAACATATCAATGTATCTAGTATTTGTTTGAATGCTCAGAGGCTCTGGTCCCGTTCTTTTAACAAAGATCTTATTGTCTTTGCAATGAACACGTGGCATGCTTAAAGTTTCCCAAAAGCCTAATTTAGAGTATCTACATCAATTAATGGGTATCTCACATAAGTATCTCAACTTAAATTCAATTAATATTTTAATTAATTAAGTGTGTGTATAAAATTATACTCCATCGCCGACGAGTATTGTTAATTAATTTCGTTTTCATTATTATAAAAAAAGTTTTTAAATTTTAACTAATTTCGTTTTTGTTTTATTATGAAAGTTTCTGAATTTTAGGGTAGTTGGTAATAAGAAAGATTTTAGAAAGTAAAAAAAATTCGATCTTATTTTTCTATTAATAATATAAAAATTAATATATTATTAAATCATTAAAGAAAATACTTATAAATAGAATAAAATAATTAAAACTATATTTAAGATCATAATTAAAGTATCGCAAAATCTTAATCATAATAAATAATTAAAAATCAAAATTGTTAACTTAAAATATATTAATTACGGTTTATGTTTAAATTGTTTTATAAAATAAATATGTTATATAATCATTTAAAAAAACAAATATGTATAGCCATAGGATAAATAGTATATATCAATACTTTATTAAAAATAAAAAAACAATTAAATGTAGAAAATAAATAAAACTAACAATAAAAGAAAAGATAAAAAAATAATTAAACTAAATATATCTTACATTAAGTTTAAAAAGAAAATGTGATATGAAATATTTCTTATAAATAGTGCATACTTTTGTCAACTCAAATTTAGTTGGAAATGATATTTGGAATACAAAATTGTATTTTTCAAAATAAAATAGAAATCAACATCAAAAATCCAAATTAAAAACAAAACAAAAATCACCTAGAAAAAAATTAACTCATATTTATGCTACCTATTTTAAAAATTATCAAGAAGCCTAATTAACAAAAACAAAATATATGTCTTAACAAATATAAAACTATAAAAGAATAGTATATGTCAAAATAAAATGAAAATCGTGAAAATCTAAACGAAAAATATAAACAAATATCTAAAATAAAATTTAACATGATTTCTTAGCGTTTTTAGCTCTCTGGACTTTAAAACAAGTCATCAAATCGCCTGCTTTTATTTATTTAGTTATTTCGCTTTTCATTCATTCATTATCGCTTAGCATAATCTGAATCTAAATTCTGTAGTGTAGTAGTTTACTCTCTTGGGATTCGATAATCCTTTATGCTACAACTACATTGTTGTGCACTTGTAGTAGTACTATAAAGTGGATAAAACTGTAGACCCCTATCAAGTATCATCATTAATAATAAATGATATCCCTTGTATTTACACCCTTTAGGGCTGCATTTAGTACATATTTTGGTCCTCTTTTGCATGTTTTCCCTTAGCTTTGTCCCATTTTCTTCTCATTTTAGACTTAGGTTGCCTTTAGAGTACAATTTGCATTTTCTTTGCATTTTGGATGTTTTTAGATGCTTTTAGAGCTAAAAGGAGCTTGGAGGAGTTTTGGGGATGATCCAGGATGCTAGCTGGGCAAAAGGGAGCAAGGAGGATCGAAGCAGAGAATTTCTGCAGAAGTTTTCGGTCAGAGCATGGTGAATATCGGTCACAGATGACCGATACAGAGCAGTATCGACCACCAGTATCGGTCAAGGATGACCGACACAAAGCAGCATCGTTCACCTGCATCGGTCAAGGGTGACAGACACAAACGCATCAGATGTATTTTGGTCACCAGTGTCGATCACTCCAGACCGATAAGATCCGTATCGGTCCGACGTAACTGACCAATACGCTGCCAGACTGAAGACCCTTTATTTACAATTTTGCCATTTTCGCTTAGACTCTTATAAATACGAAAAATCCCTAATTTCTGGGAACAAGCTTTTATCCATCAGTTCTTTCTTTTGTATTTGGACCTTTGGGTTTTGTAATTTGAATCTTTGCTTTATTCTAATTAAAGTTTACATCTTTCATCTTGTTTAAGCATTCTAATCATAATTAGTCATCTCTCTCTCTTTGATTTGGTAGCTTTAATGGTGATTAGTGAGTATTCCTTTTTAGGGATTTGAGATGGGTTAAGTTTAGGGAATTTGAGACTCTATCTATGATTGCTTACTGTTAATTCTTCCATTTTCTTTCTTGATTGCTGTGTTTAATGCTTGATTAGCCCTAGCTAAGTTGATTGAGATCTTAGGCTTATTTTATGCCCACCAAGTGTTTGATGAAATGCCTGAAATGCTTTGCAAGAGAATTGCTTATCCTAGCTCAAGAGATTGACTGTCTAGGGAGTGATTTGGCAATATAGGGTTGATAGATTTGTTTTAATGCTTGCTCTTTATCATTTCACTAATGAGAATTAGTTCTTGACTTGGTAGTTAGCAAAGAGATTAGTGCCAAGAGATTGGATTAGTCATATAAATGAATCATATGCATAAGGAATAGCATTGTGTGGGTTGTAAGCATCATAGGCTGAGTCAAGAGTTCCCTATTACCACTTATCTCATCTCAAGTCCCATTTTTTCTCTTTTTTTAAGCTCTGTTCTGAATTTGCTCTGTTTTTACCTTTATTTTAATTGCTTTACTTGTCTTTCACTCTTTGCTTTGTTTTTGCTTTAATCTTGTTTGATCACTTAGGTTGCTAGGTATTCTAAAGCCCCTTTTATATTTGTTTGAATTAGGAAATCTACTATAATCCTGCTGTTTCAATCTTCCTATTTGGATTGACATTAAAACCCCATGCTACAATGACTAGTACAATGGGTGATTAACATAAGAGAGTTAAAACTCTTGTATCAATTTGGTGCCGTTGCCATTAGGGGAATGCTTTGTTCAGTAGGATTTGTAGAGATCTTGAGATCAAGCTTTGTTATTTTTGATTTGGTTACTGATTTCTCTTTTGGTCTAGAATTTCTTTTGTAGGTACCACAACACTTACTCTTAAGTGTCTACAGCTACATCTGAGGTTCAAGGTCAGGAATTTGGGGTTAGCTAAGTCAGAATTTAGTTGTTGAAGCATGGAAGAACATCAGTATGCCGCTGGTTTTGGTCCACAAGGTCAACAAGGTCTTCAAGGGATCCAAGGCTTACAAAGACAGCAAGGTCAAGCTGATATACAAGGAGCTGTTGTTCAGAGACCAAGAAGACCCATTGGTGCTGCTGATATATCCTCCAACTATGCTTCAAGGCAAGGAATTCTTCCACCTATGGAAACTGAACAATACCAGATCAAGAGCAGTCTCATCACAATGATCCAAGAAAGGCAGTTCTTTGGATTGACCAACCAAGACCCTTTAGAGCACCTGGATCAGTTTGAGAGGATATGCACTTTAACAAAGCTTAGTGGAGTATCAGATGATGGTTTGAAGCTCAAGCTATTCCCATTCTCACTTGGTGATAGAGCTAGATTATGAGAGAAATCTCTAGCACAAGGCAGCATCACTACTTGGGAACAATGTAAAGGTGCTTTCTTAACCAAATTCTTCTCTCCCTCAAGAACTGCACACTTCAGAAATGAGATCACAAACTTCAGGCATTGGTCTAATGAAAGCTTTGGAGACACATGGGAGAGGTTCAAAGGTTTCACTCATCAATGCCCTCATCATGGCTTCACTAAGGAAATGCTTCTATCAACACTCTATAGAGGTGTTCTCTCAAAGATCAGAATCCTTCTAGACACAGCAAGTAATGGTTATTTTCTTGGGAAAGATATTGATGAAGGCTGGGTACTAGTGGAGAACATGGCACTCAGCAATTGGGACTATGTGGATGACAAAGAGCAACATTCCAAGGAACTAGCAACAACATTGTCTGAGATGAAAGCCCTGCAGAAGAAGGTTGATCTCCTACTCAATGCAACCACCAAACTTCTACCCAATGATCTCTCACCAAACCTTTACAATGAACACCATGTCAAAGCTGTCCAACAACAAGAGGCGCCACTGAAGCATCATGACTATGAAGCCTACATACACCAATCCATTGAAGACACTCTCTCTCCACAGCATCAAGCTTCCTCTTTCTAAACAGCTGGTATAAATAATTCTTCATTTCCACAGGATTTGGACTATAAAGAGCTGCTCATCCAACTCCAACAACTTACCAATGGGGGAATTCAGAAGATGATGGCTGATGAGATTCAAAAAAGCTTGACTGATTTTCAAAAGAGTATGACTGATGAAATACACAAAGGCATTGACTCAAAACTTCAGTCACACATAGGCCCTATGAATATGAAGATCAACCAACTAGAAATCATGGCTCCCCCATCCACATCTTCACTAACACAAGAGTGTGTTAAAGCTGTCACTCTAAGAAGTGGGAAACAACTTCCACCAAAAATGGCACCTTCACCACCCAATGTGGACATTGAGGAACAAGAAGAGGGGGTGGAGGCTAAAGATGCTGAAGAAGCTCAAGAGGATGAAGTATCTGAAGCTGGAAGAGATTCAGATATCACCAAGTCCAAAGAAGTGGTTAAGAAAAAACCAAAGGAAGTTTCTAAGGAGTTGGTCAAGGAGCCAAGATTCATCCCTCCTCCCTATCAGCCAACCATACCTTTCCCTGGTAGATTTAAGAAGCAACTAGTTGCTAAATACAAAGGGATCTTTGATGAACAGATGAAGAAGATCCAACTCACAATGCCATTGCTGGATGCCTTTGTTCTAGTTCCTCCTTATCAGAAATTCTTAAAGGATACTGTTGCTGAAAGAACCAAAGATCTACAAGGGATGGTAATCCTCACACATGAGT